GGGCGCGGCCGTTGGGTCCGTTATTTTTGGCGGGCTTTACCTCAGCCCTCTCTGTCAGACCCCACCAAGGACTCCAGACTCCTTTAGCCTGTTCCTGGTGCTGTTGCGTGAAACGCTGCGGAGGCTTACCCTGGTATCTTCTGTTCTCCATCCTTAGCTGCTTTTTTTTTTTTTTTTTTTTTCTTTCTTCTTCCTTCCCCCCCTCCAACTTTAGCTCTGGGTTTTGGTTGCTTATCTTCCAGAGAGGACAGGAAGCAAAATAATACAGGCTAAAATCCTATGCAACACCAAAACTAGCTTCATAAACTGAAATGTCAAGCTTATGGGGGTTTATTTTACAAGCATGTCACTGGTGGCTGTTGGCCTTCATAGTGCTAGCAATGCACTTTAATTGCGTAACAGCAATGAAATAGAAGCTGCTCTAGTGTTGTCACACATGAAATTGATGTATTTCACAGAAGTAGAGAGTGAATTGATCTATTAGTCTGGCTGTTGCAGAGACTTGGGCTTCATTCTTAACCACATTGCAGCTATTAAAGATGTTGATAACTGCCACATCAAAACAAGTGCAGAGGTAATGTTACATATTATACACACAGGTATGCCGTATTATTTGTATGCCACTAAAGGCAATATGCACCAGTAACTTTGATAGAATAGCAACTAATGCTATACAACAGCCTGTGTAGTATCCGCAATGTATGCAGTAATACATAGAAATTTAGAAGTAAATCAGAAAACAAATAGGGTAAATTACCTGTACCTAATATGCTAATATATACTTTTTCTATTCACGATATTTGGCTGATAATAACATTTCTTTGAATTGTGAAGTATTTTATATATGAGGAAATTAGCTAGAGGTTTTATGTCTGTACCACAAAGTATAGAAAAGAAATTTATTTTTTGAAGCGTGACACTATTTTTCACAGAATAGCTAAATTGTTTTTTTATTCAAAGCCATGTACTTTGCCATCACACTTTGCAGCAATATATAAGTATGCATTTTCTATTAATATTTTCAGGAATTAAAAAATACTCCTTGTATTTGAATGTATATGTACTTTTCAATTCAGTTTTTTTACAGTACTTTAAAAAAATAGAGAATACAACTTTTACTTCAAAAATGTGATCATTCGGCCCTTAATCTGCAAAGAGCAATTGCATGTTACTTGTGTACCTGTGGATCTTCTAAACTCAGTACAACTGCTTACACATTTTAGGCTTGTGTCTGAAGTGATGCACGTCACTGGGTATACAGTTAAGAGAGACTGCCGTAAAATCACAGAAAATTTGGATGTCTTTACAACATGAATTAGTTTACTTTGTCTGCTGATCTAATTTCTCTACAGCAAATTTGGCACAATCAATACATTGCTGCTTATTAAGATACAGCAAAGAAATGAAAAGGAGTCTAGCCAACATTTCTACTCGCAGCACAGCAGGTACCATACATTCTTTTGCCATTCGTACCTCATTATGCTTACACACACACACACACACACACACACAAAGAGTATTCATGCAAGATATACAGTATTTAGTCCTAGAGCCCCATTTCCTGAGTGGACATGGGTTATCTGTTTCATTGCAGCACAGGGCAAGATTTTGAATGGAGTCAGGGGATTGGTCACTGAGGGAAATGTTTCATTCAGGGGGCTATATGCAGGACAGAGGGCTGGGAATACAAATTCTGTGAGGCGGTGACTGGTCTGTTATGCGTTTATGAAATGCAATTCCTACGGGTGAGGTAAAATAGTTGTTAAGTAATTTTATTTACATATTTTAAGTGTAGATTGTGTATCCTTTTGCTATTGGTATAGTATTATTATTATTTGAATTTTAATTTTAGGTTGTCTGCCTGTACCTCTGTTCAATCAGAAAAAAAGAAATAGACAGCCCCTCACTTCAAATCCACTTAAAAATGAGCCAGATACCAGTTCTGGGACTCGTACTTATGACTTTTCTCCCACATCATTCGGTAAATAAGATATACTTTATTTTTTTAGTGGCTCTAAATCCAAATAAACCTTAACTTTATGGTTGTATTTTATTAAATTAGACATTGTCTGTATCAAGATCTATATGCATCCTTTATGTTTATTTCTGAAAAGTTCATTATGTAAAAAATGTCCTCCAGGAAATTTCTTTCTCCTGTATACAATTGAGCTTTTTATACTTTGTGCCTAGAGGGAGTTTGACTCTTTGTGTGTTAGAGAATGAAGTAGCACTGGCATTTAAATAGAGTCTCTTGAAACTCTGACCTTTTGTTTTCAGTTGATTTCAATCAACATTCAAGTCCTGTGTTACAAGAAGAAACATTTATAAGATGTCTTTCTTGTAATTCAGAAGAGAGCTTCTGTTCTTCAAATTCTGCTTGGAAAGAATGATGCAGAATTCTGCCTTTAGTGCTTTCTTTATGTTTTACTTATAATAAAGTGAAAAGGTTTACTTATAATAAAGTCTCTATGCTAATAAGTCTAATGTCTGTAATTTAACCATTGTCTAGAGAAGCAACCTACTTGTTAGAAGTTGCCTTATAATTACAGATATCAAAGGATCACATTCCCTTTTTTTTTTCCTTCTCCTTCCTGTGTGAGACTATTTGTGGAACATTAAGCACATAAAGAGTAGGAGCCCTAAGTAGACCCATTACCTTTCAATCTTTTCAGTCTGTATCCATATTCAATCCTTTGTCTTTTGAGAATTAGGCTGGGGAACTGCAAACCCAGAAGTGGCTGAACTACAGAAAGCAGCAAACAACGGGTATGTAAAAGCAGATTATTTGGTTTGCTTATTGATTTTCATTTGGGTACTAATTGTTTCATAAACTACGATCCACGTGTCTGTCTTACAATAAAGCTGCTACTATGTCACTGATACTTTAAACTTATCTTTGAAAGCCGAACAGAACATCACATGGCTCCTTCCCTTATGAAACCACTAAATGCATCAAAGTCTAATTTTCCAAATGCTGGAAAAAACTTGTACGTCTGCAGGTTGGTGAAGTCTTTAATTTTTATTATCCTTCCTTAACCATAACTGATCTCATTTGAAACTATATCTTAAATTTTCCATATTCTTCTAGCATTCAGAGAGCCTTGTAATTCTCAGATCATCACTGATCACAATTCCATTGTGCTTATGAGCCAAAACCCACTGAAATGAAGTATCTTTCTGGTGTGCCTAGTGAGGCCTATTAATTAGACCTAATATCTAGCCTTATTATCGGGCCTAAAATTCAGTCTTACCATGAATGTTGATTGAATTTTGCTGATCTGAGATGTAATTTTTTGAGATTCCCCTTTACTTGAAGTTTTGCCCACTTTCAAATTGCATTTATCAATGGACTCAAGTAAGTTTCTATCACCGTACATTAGGGCAATTGTATATCAAAACATTTAATTAAAACTGAACATAGTTGTGAACTCTGAACTTTTATAAGCCAAGGAAAAGCTTACAGATTCAGATGCCTAGAGCTGGCAGGAAAATTTCCAGCAACGTTGTCCTTTTTCTCTCTTCCATCCCTCCTATTCCTTTCCAATGGCAGAAAGAGAGTGAATGTTTCAGACAAGAGCCTTCAAAGGCAAAAAGGAATGGAGGTGGAAGGAATTTCTGAGCTGCCTTTATAAAATGAAGGATGTTTAGAAATAATAAGGTCAGCACTAGAGTTTGTTGCAAAATTATTTCTTCTGTGATGGTGGTAGAAGAATTCAGAAATATCACTCTAGGAAGGAACTGCTTATTTTACTTTAGAGTTACAGAAAAGATGTGAACCTTAGGTTGGGAAGGATCCCTTGTACAGGGCAGGATGATGATTAAGCAAGCATTTAAGGCCTATTGAATTCAGCTGAATTTAAGCACAGGTGTGATCACTGCCCTGAATATAGATAAATTTAAGTATATACTCAAGTGCTTTGAGTCTGAATATTTAACAGATGTTTTTAAAGCTAAAACAACAATACATAGATTGCTTTTATATACTTTAATTACATATCTGAATATTCAGAATAGATATTGTAATACTGAACCATGTCTAACTTTGTACTGCAGGGGAGAAGAGAAGGCTCCCGCCACGAAAGTTTGGAACAGAAATGAGTATACTCCTTTAAGTAACACAGCAGATTCAAGATCTGGCAGTGGAATTATTCGAAAGTTTGAGAGCCTTCCAAGTAGTTTGCAAACTGTTCAGCAGCAAAAAAACCCTGATAACCATAATTTGTCTCAGTATATCAAACCAACAGAAGCCAGCCAAACATACACATCTAGAGGACAATGGCCAGCGAAACCTAAGGCAGTTTCCAGAAGTCTCCAGGATCACAGTCTGGCATATAAGTTCAACTACAATACTCAGCAAAATAAAATGAAAGAAAAAAATGTTGATTGTGTTCCAGAAAGCAAAAGTCAGGTAAACTTACGGAGAGAGTTAATAGGAAGACACAATGAAGTCAGTAAAGAAAAAGAAAATTGTGGAAAGATGAGGCTTTTGTGAGTCCTAGCTGCCTCAGTGAACCCTTGAGTTTCTGAAAGTTTGGAATTGAGATTTTGATACTCTAATTACCTACAGTCCTCAGCATGATCATATAAATTGGCAGGGAGTAGTTTGTATAGTCTGAACAAATACTCTAATTTTAATGTAAATATTGGATATTTAACATAATATATAAAGTCTGTGTGCCTTTTAAAATTGTGTGTGTATCTCTAACTTGAGTTTTCGTCTTCCTCTGAAAGGAAGTTTCATCATCTCAATTAAAAATTAAAGAAAAAAAGAATTCTTTGCGAATCATATCTGCAGTCATTGAAAGTATGCGGCACTGGAGTCAATATGCTTATAAAACTGCACTATTATTTGAAGTTCTAGGTAAGCTACTGTAACTGATAATAATGGTAGGACAACAGCCGAGAGAAAATGTTATTAACTGTAGGAATAATAGCTGAAATACTTAAAAACCGAAAATACTGGCATGAGCACCATCTAATTTTCTTGCTGGAAGATCCATTCATCTATCAAAGGTGACTAAAATAGGTAGAAAATTAATAATACAGTTATCCTCCAACATTTAAGCTCTTTCTGTCCTGTTTCTTCTCTTTCCTATTAAAAAGAAACCTTCTGTAGAGAGGTACAGTTTTACAGTAATTTTTAATGCAATTAATCTGGGAATAAATTCAGCTCTGGAGTAATTCTAAGCATAGATGACTTTTAGTGTGTTTCACTTTGCATTGTAATTGACATTATCTGAGAAATTAACCTGACAAAAGACTGAAATGATTGAACTTTAAATCAAGGTAAGTAAGAATATGCAATGTAGTGGCATCTCTGAAAACTATTCTTTTGACAAGGTTGCAAATATCTAAAGTCCATTTGCATATGAAGATCGGTAAGACTTAAAGGATTGTATTGTGCTCTGCTTAACAGTTTACAGTGATGTTATGAAAACACAGTGATGGTTATGAAAACCACATTTGGTCACTCAGCTTAGAGAGACATTATATGCAATTTTACTATTCAAAAACAATGTAAAGCCCGTGATTTGCATTGGAACTTCCAGTGCTGTCAGCATGAGTTCTCACAGAAAGCTGATGCTGACTTGATAAATCTTAGTGCTTTTGTGTAGTAAATGTTGTCATGGTATCTTTGCATATTATACTTAGTACTGCTCTGATGTTTACATCATGATTTATTTTTGCTACATGGTATAGGCACACTTGATTCTGCAGTCACACCTGGAGCATATGGGGCAAAGAATTTTCTTTTGAGAGATGGAAAGGAGAGTCTGCCTTGTGTATTTTACGAAATTGTAAGTATTCTGTGTCTGTACATAACACAGACACCGCTCACTGTAATCCCTTTTATGAAGATAATATGTTGTTCTGATAAAATAGAAAATTACTGTGTAAAAGGAAAGCTGGGTGCTTATACTGTATTGTTCCCACGCTGGTCTAGAGCAATAATCCACTCACTATTTAGGCATCCTCAGACTTCTGTTTCAGAAAAAAAGGTGGGACTTTCAGTAGTAGTTGATAATAGCAAAAAAGCTGATGTAAATTCCTTCTGCGTTTGAGGTATTCTTCAGAAATCCACTAATACCTAATAACTGGACATTTTGAAAGCTTTTAGGTTAGAAAGGTGTATCATTTTTTTATTTGTTTATTATGCTTTTGATGAAGGACCGGGAGCTTCCAAGACTAATTAGAGGTCGAGTGCACAGGTGCATGGGAAACTATGATGCAAAAAGGAACATTTTCAAGTGCGTCTCTGTAAGACCAGCAACTATTCAAGAACAAAATACTTTCCAAGAATTTGTTAAAATTGCAGATGTTGAGATGACAGCATATGTAAAAACAATGAATGAAATTTAAAAGTCAAAATGGTTGGCCAAACACGATTTTCACTGATTGTTACCCATAAAGGCTGGGCATCCTAAAGCATTTAACAAAACTAATACTGAAAATCTGATTAAATAATTGAAAATATCACCATGCTATGTTATCCAACAAATGTTAGTAGCAATGTTTTGCTTCCACTATTACATTTCATAGTTTATCTTTCCCAGTTAAATAATGCAATAACAGAGTTTTGTTACATAGTAGATTAGATTTCACTGGAGAAATTCTGAATTAAAATGTTTAAGTTTTGCAGTAGTGCAAGTGTCTCAGAAAAAGAGCATCAACACTAATTCAGATTGCCATTGCTTTTCATTACTTTCAATTTTTAGAAATGCCTTCGGTACCTATTTCAAAATGTTGATTCTATACTTCTTTTGAGGAGTATTTGGTCAAAGGTTAATAGCTAACAAGTGTCGACAAAGTTCTGTTTGGCCCTGCATATGGTGTTAAAACTGCTCTTTGGTAGAAAGTAAGGAGGTAGACTTTATTCCACTTCAGTTCCAACTAACAGGTTCCCTTTGCTGGGTTACACGTGCTGGCAACACGTGTAAAAGCTTTTCTAGAAATGAACATATTAAATACTACAGAAAGATTTCACGGGATGCAGCTGTATATGCTAGGTATTCATATGGTTCCCATTCATATGTTATCTGATTCATGTTTTTAAAAAAAAAAAACCAAAACCAAACAAATAATCAGTATGACACCTGTATAAAACAGCAACAGACCCTGAAGCTGTAGGAAGATTGCTGAAGGACACAGAGGAAGTTGGGGAGAAATAATTATTTGAACACAGAACTTCCTTGCCTTTGCCATAGAAAGATCTTTCATGAGGGATGGACCATGTACTTTAGCTAGTTCCCTTACTTCAAAAGCTTTGTACCAGATCTGTTGGGAATTGCAGTACAAAAGGGTTGTCAAGAAAATAGTGAACAGTGTGATTATTTTTTTTTTTATTTTATTATACAGTGTTGGCAATTGGAAATTTCACATTTAAAATAATTGAAATATTGTATCCAACAAGTCAAATACAGAAAACAGGTAATATTCTAAAAAGGAGCCAGCTAGTCAACGCAGAAACACATTAATGGAAAATACAGCTTTTAGTTACACTTAAAAAATTATATATTTAGAATAAAAGTTGAACCCGGTCCAGTAAATTGTTTGACTTGTAACAGGAAAACGCTTTTACACAGTTTAACGCGCAGACAGTCTTTATTTAAAAAAAGTGATCTGTCAGTGTTAGCTCAGGTATTGTTAGCAACACCCCCCTTAACGTTCCAATTGAGGATCTAAAGTATATGCTTTACTAACTGTTGTAAGAATCACCTGCATTAGCATCTCCATCTTCTGTGCTAAGCTGGTTCTGAGCATGGATGTTTTGAGGAGAGTTTCGTCTGTCCAGTTGTAGAGGTCATATACATATATTTGATTTCCTTTATATATTATAAAATATTAAAGAAAGTTCCAAATGGAAGCATTAACTTAACTCCTAAAAGGTGCAGAATATTATGGGACATAGAGCTTGATCTTGTTCACAACAGAAGAAGCTGAGTTTTAAGAAGCAAACGATTTGGTACAGTGGTGTTGTAAATTGTAAGACTCCCTCGTAACAGTAAGTTAAAACTACAAAGGAAGCTTAACTATGGGACCAGAGCTGCAAGCCTCTGTGCGTGTCATCAACATCACGCAAATGTTGTAGCCCTACTGATTTCAGTTGAATGATTGATGGTTCTAGTTCTGCACACGTGAAATTTATGTTAATAAGTAATCACAGGAATAGGTCATTTGTGTCTACTAGTTATGTTATGGCTGTTAATAAAAAACTAAAATAATTTTACTTTCAGTAAGTGTTTAGATCTCTTCAAAAAAGCTTTCCTACTTTACGCTAACAAATCACTTTTTCTAGTGAAACATTAAGTGAACAGTCGTAAACATTACACAAAACAGAAAAAACCCTACATAATACAGTTTATACACATTACGTAACATTTTTCAGTTGTTGCTTCTTTTATTTTTTTTTTAACCATATTGATCCTGTCTTGTATAATGGTTCTAGTGTAAAGGCACAGGTTGGTTAGGAAAGAAAAGCCTGCATCTCTGTCTCTCTACTCTGCGGTGATGATTTTCTTTCTACATGTTGTTTGTTATTCCTCACTTTTCTGACTCTCATATGAAAATTATCAATTTCAGCCATTCATTAAAAAAAGCATAAGACATTACTGAAAAGTACATTGCTATACAGAAGTGACTGAAATTTATTCTTCTTACTTTAGAGGCATTCCTTCAACCTATTTCTTAAAATATTTGGGAGGTTTAATTCCTTGGTCTCTGTGAGCAAAAACACGTGGCACAGGCTCTCTCTCAGTGTACTTAATTCTACATTGAAATCTGTATTTTCAAAGATTCATAATGGAACTTGCTAAGTTTATGTGCAGAATTTGCTTTTAGTATGCATGAAAGTGTAACAACAGACAATTATTTTGGAAAACAGTGCAAAGTTCCATTGAAGTTTAGAAGGTTGAGGAATGTAAACAAGACTGCAGAAGTCTTTGACATTTATCAAAATAACACAGTGATTGTTCTATCTGTTTGCATTTTCTTACACATCCTCACGTCTCTGTCTCTGTCTGTCCCTTCATGTACACTTTCCATTAAAAAAGAAAATAATTCAGGAATCAGTTGGACTCAGCTAAGTGAAGAATAATAAATCTGGTCACTTGGTTTGTGCCAAAATACAAAACTAAGAAGTACAGCTCTGAATTAAATATAATCTATGTGACTTTCTTTTTTAATAAATAATAGAAAATAAAAGACGAGAATAGAATTAGAATTCGATTTTTATTTTAAATGAAAAACATAGCAGTGGGGTGAGATTAGAACCCAACATTTCTTTTGCTTAAGGCAATCAAGTGCACTTATTTCAATGCTTGATAGTAATGAATTCAGTGCTATTGTGGAAATCAAACTTCACAAATTTCATCTACAAACCCATGAAATATGGCCATTTGCTCGTTCTGACATGGCATCAGATTATTATTATTATTGGGCGTGCCCAGTAGCGTTTCAGACAAATGTTTCCTTCTCTTTTTTTTTTTTTTTTTTTTTACAATGATGGGTTCTTAATAGGAATGGAAATATTAGAATCTAGTTCATACTGGCTTTGTATTATCACTACATACCAGGGCCATCGGGCACGTACATTTTTGTAAACAGAGATTTTTCTTTTACGCCTTAAAAAACAAAAAACAGAACCCAAAATCTAAAGTTGTAATAGTTCAAATAATTTTATAAAGGTCTGCCTAGAATTATAATTCAAGAAATACCAAAACCATATTCCTAGCATTATTTTTTCCTGTTGTTAAACTATTAAATCATCATGAAGCCTTTGGAAGTAGTTGGATCTCTCTCTCTGAAGAAAAGTAATCTAAATTTTATGCAAGCCTTCATGAAGATGACTATAAATCTTGGTGATTAGATCAGTATTAAAAAGTGTGCCGACACCTTACAATATGCAGGTTCTGTGAATACATATAGATCTAAAAGAAACTTTTTCTTGTATACAATTCTTTTTAGGTATCAAGCTTAATTTTAGACCGTGGCTACTAGTAGGCGCTTTTTCACTAATCAAAATAATTGTAACAAAATATTATTGATTTTAAAATTATTGGGTTCATAAAAGTTTTGACATCTAATAATATATAAAAAGTGAATTGAAGCTTTTAAAAGACTTACGATTTTGAGACACAAAAGAAACTGGGAGGTAGACAGATGTTTTGAGGATAAACAGATTTTTTTTTTTTTTTTCCTAAGGCATTATGCCACTATATGTTTAGAGCAGTGTAAAGGCTGCTGATTAATCTTATTTCAATTCCAGAGTGTTCGCTGCTCGTACTTACGGAAGACTATCAATGCACTTTTGGTCTTTGTGAATCTGACCTTCTCTTCCCCATCTCCTTTCTCCTCTCTTTAGCAATTCAGCTAAATGGAAGTGCTATAATTATTTCTGCCCATTGCCTATAGACAGGAATGTTCTGTTCTTAAACAGTAATAAAATACTATAAAATAGTAGGTATTGGAGTTGGAGATATGTGCTCTTTTGGTGCATATTTTGCAAAGAATGGTAAAAAGACAGACAACATGACCCCAACAATTGCCAGCATATACCCCCATCCAATCTGGCAGTCTCCTGCATAGTAGATGTCTGAATTCTCACAGAATCTCTTCACAGTAGCAGAGTTGAAACCAAAAGGGTAAACCAAAAGCCCAGAAGCCATTATGAACACTAGAGAGGAGAAAAAAAAACACACCAATTATTATCGAACACTTGATTCCTTTGGGAAAAAAAAAATCCTTCTTTTATATTCAAATCAATGGGGAAAGTCATAGCTTAAAAAAAAACCAAACAACACCTCGTGACTGGCAGATTATCTTCTTTTTCATAATTAGCTCTCAGGGACAGCAGTGTCATAACATGGTAGCAAGTTGGCATTGGGACTTTTTTCATGGGAGCTCTTGCCCATTATATAACTTCAGAAACGTAATCCAAAATACGTAGCCCTTTAAAAAGTAAGATGATTCAGATCTAATGGAATCCAGAGGAGAATTCCTAAGTTTGCAGATTCCAAATCAACTTGATTTTCTTCTCAATAGCATTTTTGTACTTGAGACAATTACTTTGTTCTGCCAAATAAAAACTTGCAACGATAGAGTTTAAATGCAGTTTTTCAGATTCTGCTGATGAGGTTCTGATAACGTAAGCACTTTCTCATTATTCTCGCTAATACAAACTCAAATTGTTTTAAAAAAATCCTGCATTTTACCCAAAGATTGTGAGATGAAAACAAGTACAATCTGTCTTCCTTTTATTTAGCTTTTAGCACTGGAGTCTTTCGGTATATTTTTTTTAATTCTGTAAACTTAAGGATGAGAAAAATTTTGGACTTAAGGTTGAGACCTAAAATATTAAGATCTAAAGTTCCTAGATTATCTAATTTGGCAGTTTGGGCTCTAAAAACACACAATAAATATAACAGGACGTGGTATACAAATCTAAAGAGTCAGTACATAAAGGCACAGAGTTAAAGTAGCAGAAATACAAACATGGCTTAAGCCACCTTTTGGTGCTGGAAAGCCAGGCTTGCCTCCTGCAGTTACACTGTCTGTGTTATCTATGAGCTTCTAGCAGAACTTCACGATTTCTAATCAATACACATTATATTTAATATCATGGCTTATGCGATTCATATAATGAACAGCAGAACAACTTTTCCAGCTTTGAAAATAAGACTGCCCAAGGTACAAGTCATGACTAGGATAAAGATGCATTAAAACACTCCAGGTGCAGTTCCCCAGCCTGTTTCTGCCCACCTTGGAAGTCAAGAGGGGCTGAGCTAGGCTGACACGAAGGGTGATGCCACCTACCCCTTGTTTGAGAGAACACTGAGAAAACATTTTTTTTCTTTTCTAGCCTTTCTGCTAATGAATAACCACTGTGTTTAAAATCTATAGTCTATTGTAAAAGGCTTTATTTCATATACCAAAAAGATACCATGAAGCAGTCCCTCTTCCTACCTTCCTGTTCTCCCAGGATAGTGTTTTCTTCAAATTCGGGGTGGATTGTTAGCGATTCAAGAATAGCAGTGGCCAGAAATAACTGTTATGTTTGAGCTGATAGATAATTCATAACCAGCAAACACGATCTAATGAAAGATTAAGATTATAAAACAAACACTACGTTCTATTCTCTGTATTTGTAATTGCCTTTCAGGTAGGGCATGTGCATATTACTCCAATTATAATACTGGAGAGGCTTAATCTTAAAAGTATCCACTAAAAAAGGGCAATCACTCATTAATCTTTTTTAATTAAAAAAAGAACTTTAATAGGCTTGAGGGCTAGATGAAGTCAAAAAGTTTAACATGCTCAGCCTGTGAATAATTTGAATTAAACCTCTCCTTCTAGTCTAAATGGAACCGCTGAGTTAATCCCATGTGAAAAACAGTAAGACCAAGAAAATGGAAATTAAAAGGAGAGAAACTGGAACAGAAGCAAACTCGCGAGGCTGTTTCCCTCCAGGGTAACTCATGCATGGGTACAAAGAGAAGCTGCCCGCCATTGCGTGGAGCGCTCTGAGAGCCAGATACTTTTAACCTACCCTCACTCCTGTAAACACCCTCTTCCCCTTTAAGCCTTTATCAAGGATAAGTTTTGGGTGGTTCCCAAGGAAAGGACCCCATGCCTTTCCCCTCTTCCCAGGTGTGTGAAGGCGATGCTGCAGGAGCCAGATCAGGGAAGGGTCCTCCCCAGCGCAGGCAAGGCCTTGAGCACGTCTCACACTCCCCAGTACTCAACCAGCTGCACCTGCTGTGGGTGCCCAGGGCAGGAGGGAGCTCACAGAGCTCAGCCCTGGATTCTTAGCAGCTGTGCTTGTGCATGCTGGAGCGTGTCCAGAGGAGAGCAACAAAGCTGGTGAGGGGTCTGGAGCACAGGCTGATGGGGAGCAGATGAGGGAACTGGGGTTATTTAGTCTGGTGAAAAGGAGGCTGAGAGGAGACCTTATTGCCCTCTACAACTGCCTGAAAGGAGGATGGAGTGAGGTAGGGGTTGGTCTCTTCTTGCAGGTAATGGGCAATAGGATAAGGGGAAATGGCTTCAAGTTGCACTAGGGCAGGTTTAGGTTGGACATTAGGAAAATGTTTTTCATTGAAGGGGTTGTCAGGTATTGGAACGGGCTGCCTAGGGAAGTGGTCAAGTCCCCATCCCTGGGGGTATTTAAAAGCTGGGCAGATGAAGTGCTTAGGGACATGGTCTAGTGGTGGGATGGCAGGGTTAGGATAATGGTTGGACTTGATGATCTTAAAGGTCTTTTCCAACCTAGATGATTCTATGATTCAGGCTCTACCGTTAAACAAACATGCTGAAGCTAAATACAAAGAAGTAAGTTGTATTATGCAGATCTCCCTTAACTACACATGCACGTGACACCACTAAAAACAACACAAAATGAAAATATAATAAAAGTGAAGCTAAAGTAGGCACACATGCACAGACAAGTCTCCTAGCAAAGGCCACTGAGCTTTCCCAAAAGAGGCTAAGGGCCAACATGCTTCTTTTGTTCAGTAGCACAGCCCGAAAATTGTGTGATGCTCTTGCGCACCCAGGAAAATTCCCCAAGTGCCACCTCTGTAGGAAGAAACACAGGAAGCAACCTTGGAGAGCAAACAGAAAAAAGGGAGACTTTTCCTACTGCTCTTGTAAAGTTTGAGAGTGTTAAACCGCTAAGCTGAGCAAGAAACTAAACCATGTTAATCCATAGACCTATGTAGGTTGTAGCATTTGCTTGTGGGCTAATATAGCCAGGAAGCAGAACAACGTGTTACCTCAGAGACCGTGATGTGAAGTGGACATGCAGCATAGCCCTACTCAAATCCCAGGGTGTTTGACTGCATGGAGAATTTTGAAATTACTCCATGGTGCAAAACCTTCTGTGAAATATTGGGCCCATTGGCAAAGTGAGCCAGTTTTAAGAGAAACAGCAACTGCTCTAAGCAAGAAGCAGGTCTAACATTAAAATTTCAGTTTGTTCATCTTTTCAAAGTCCACGCATCTCATTTGGCAAAAGAAAATATTACGCAGAATTGGAAGCAATCTTTTTATCATTAAATCCTTTTAAACTTTGTTAAAATTTGCTGTTTCTCTGACACTATCTCGACCCCTTGCTGTATTCCACATATCTGTCAATATATATGTTTTCTTTTTGATTGGGTTACACAGAATTATTTTGAAGCTTGTGCTTTACAGTGACACCAGTGTTTTGATTACTTCTTGGTGCTGATGTTGTATGGTGTGATTTAATGGAAGAAGCTTTTTTTTTTTTGAAGGCTAGAAATCTGTCACAGTCGAATTTAATGTGTTCACATATCAAACGGGCTAAAAAGTTACCCATGGTTTCATATCCTCAGGCGTGTCATAGAATGACCTCATTATTCTCATTTAGGTGCCCTCTTTCTTACAAAGGCTCAAAATATTGAATAGCCTGTTATTATCAGCAGAAGCCAAGCTTTCAGACATGGTGCTAATGACTGCTTAATAGCGCTGTCTATCAGCAGTGCAGTTAGCTGGGAGAGCACACAAAGAAACAGTGGGGCTCCATTTAGGCTCCTCATATAACACTTCTGCCTCTGCATGGTTTTCCAACAACAAACGTCACTTTAAAAGGTGTCAGAATACAGTAGTGAGTGCATCTTACCATTATGTGTAGTGTAATCCCGCTGTCATACAAGATGATGATAAGGCTAGACAACATATTTGGGTCTGTTCTATAGCATATGGCGTGTAAAGGGGACTTGCTGGTAAAACAGATAGTTGGAGTTCTTTTTTTAACATGGCTTGACTGATCATTTGGTTCATTTCCCATCAGCTATCGGGGCTTGTTAAAAACATGCATGTTTTTGTTTTCATATCTGACGCATGGTGTTTGTTATTGCTAGGTCCTCATCACCTGAGTTCTCATCATTAAGTCACAGCCTCTACTGACTGCAAGGCGGTTTAAAGTCAAGTCCACATGCATTGGTTCAACTGTAAGTCACTTTTTATTTCTACTTTCTAATCTTTTGCCCTCCCAAATAGTTACAGTCTCACCCTCATCCTCTCGCATCCTCTTTACTTCACTGGTGTCCTAGAGCCAGACAGCAATTGCAGTTGCTCCTCTGAAGGGTTCACTAGCCAAGGCAGGACCTCTGCACTGTGCTCCCTGTGCAGGCCCAAAGCTCAAAAAACATGGTTCAGCGATGTTTTTTTAAAAAAAGTAGATTCCTGAATTTGTCGATTTCTAAATAAAATTACTTCAAAAACCAGGTATAAAATATTATTAGAAAGGAGGACACTTCTTTTTAGGGAAAACAGGGCATTTTGTAGAAAAAGTTGTAAATTCTTGGTGATAATGCTTAATCAATGACACTTCTACTTAGGGAAAATAGCATTTTCTGCTATATTAAAATCTAATAAACTATAACTCTTTGTCATTGCAATGGTTCATTCATTTCATTAACCTTCTGAAATATTGTTTAATTATTTAAATCTATCACATACCATTTTCCAGTTTATTTTAAACCAAACCAAAGTAATGCAGTTCTCTGGAGTGTGTGTAGAGGGCACCAACGTACAACTCTCTTAAATACCATGCACAAAAAATGGCTGTTTCCATTTCCACTTCTTTTGGCAAGACTGATGGAGTTCACATGTATGAAATACAGTAATTGTCTAGTTTGCCGTATTGTGAAG